AATGCATGGGGATACACTTGTTATACATAGGAGAAAATAATAAAGACACATTGCGGTTATTGCTACAATTGCTACTACGCAGCAGCGGATAGCGATAACAACGAAACGTAAAATATAATTAAAGCCACCTAGGTGCGCATCCTATTCCATTCTACCTCATAAAATTGCAATAGTCCAGATGGCGGACTGATAGTATACCACGTTTATTAATTAAAGACTGGGCACGAGATGGTAGCATTTGGCGAGCTAATAAATCCCAAATACATTAAGCTCGCCGGGACTGAATTGCGTCCGCAATCTGAATTAAAGCGCTAATCCCGGATTAACCCATTGCTATCTCTTCCTGATTAATCTGTTTGCTCATATATATATATCTATACATATATAAAGAAAGAAAATAAGGATGTTAGGGGCTCGACGTTAATTGCCCAACCCTTTCGGCGCTCCATTTTCCCTGGCAGCCGATTAAGCCTGTATTTATCAATACGACCCTCCGCAGAGACACGCGATTTTCGAATTCCCGGTCGCGATAAGGGAGTAAAGTGCCAAGTGTCCGCGGCACGTGGTGCAGGCACGGCGCCATGACAAGTGTAAATCACGATTCCAGGGAGAGCTCCGCGGGAAAGTTCGGCTTCGCCTTACTCGCCAGTAGCGAGTTTCGAAATCGACGACGAAAGCGGCGGGATCGAGAGTCGAAGGGGTGATGCGAAGGCACGAAGGAAAAGAGAAAAGGAAGGAAGGAAGGAAGGAAGGAAGAAAAAGGAGAACGCGCGGCACACGTGTGGCCCATTCGTTCCGAATCCTCCCGCCACCGCCATCCGGTGTGGACCGCGCGCGCGGGGTGCCGGACGGTGCAGAAGAAGAAAAAAAGAGGCGGAGGGTAGTCACGCTCCCGGGGCATTTTTCAGAAGCTGCTTGTCGGCCACCATATCCCGCCCACCGCCTCATCCCGCCCGCCCCTCGACTTCCTTTTCGCTCTCACGTCCCCGAAAAAGTCGATAGTTGCGTAGACAGCGTTCTCAAGGGTGGTGAAGAGCGGCTGCCAAAACGGGGTGAAGCGGCGACGGGGGTTGCGGCTCTCGCGGGCCGTTGTCAGAAGTTACTATCGATTTTTCAAATTCCCCGTGGATACATAGGCGACTGACACAATCGGATTTTCTTCGTTCGCCGAGCGTCACCCGGGTTATCTGTCAAGCGCGTGTCTGACCATGCTATGGATATTACTACTCGCGCGCATAAAAAAACCGCCTAATTCATTGATTAATCGCTTTCTTATATTTGCAAAATTTTGTTCATGATTTATTGAGTTTTTCTTTTTGTTTAAAAATGGCTAAACAAGTGTAAAATAGTCGAAAAATTGAAATTATTGGTTTTTATGAACGTAAAATATATTTTTTTTAACTTTTCGATTTTTAAAGGCTGAGGCAATAGTTTGAAATATTCTATTTCGAATTTTTCTTTGTGTGTGTGTGTGTGTGTGTATTGAATGTGCACAGTGATATCTATTGACTTTGGCTATTTGATTCGGACTGATCGCCTGCGAGGCAAAGTCTTTATGGACCAGGCGTGAAAACCACGTCCAATGGACGCGAAATCATTGTCGGTTGTGTGTCCGAAATTTCCGAAGTTCGGGTGTTACAGAGATACGTGTCAGAGCTATTGGGTTATTTCGCGGTAAAGCATGGCGACGCGAGACACTTGCCAAACGAGGCTATCGGCGTGGTAACGTAACCGACACTTGCATAAACAACCTGCCTGCTGCGGTACGATCGATTTCTCAAAGGCTTATCGACACATTGAATAAATGGGGTTTTCGTGTAATTCCCTCTACGACCGAAGTCATTCCCAAATTGTATTACCACTTCTGGAATTGCGAATGCATTGGTATAACACGTCCATCGAAGTGCGAACGACTGCGAGCTTGTAAAATATATAATTAACAATTTAAACGACTGCCGCTGCGGTAAAACTGCATTCGTACTATATTGCAGTGTAAGATATTAAAATAAAATCAAACGGTGCTAAATATATTTTTAAACCAGTTACCCGTTTTCTACAAATTACGTTGGCATTAATTTTATCGTAAAAAAAATACATAACACATATTTAATCACGTCGCGAATGTATAAATAGATTATACTTTTTAACGATCTAATCTCAAACTTTATCGCGCGATACTGCACCCTCCTGCATTCTTCGCCAAAGTTTGTTTGTGCATAATTTGCGTGACTGTTAGTACCTTAAGGCGTCTTCCACACCCTGCTATAATCGGCTTTGCCGATCAACAAGCTCATTGGATAGTGCTCGTTACTGAATACGTGTCAATCGATCTATGCCAGTCGGCACAAAATGCCGATCAGCATGTGTAGGGCTTCGCTGACTATACTCGATAAACGACAAAAGAAGCCGAATTCTGTATCAAAGCAAGCATCGATCAATCCTTTATACTGATCGCCATCATTTCAATTTTCGCGTACTATATATTTAGAAAAATTTCTGAAATTGTACATCTCTGTATAATATATTATTTAATACCAAGTTATTTATTAGATTCTATAGAGCCAAATAACTTCGGCTCTACACACGCTATGATACTACTGTGTTATATTCCTCTACTATTTAATTATGTAGATATATACGACTTTAGGATATACAGGAAGCATGTGCGAATCACTAACTCTGGACAGCTGTGCAATCCCGGTTGTATATATACTCTATAAGGTTTCTTCTACTTTAAAAATTCTCCGCACGGTTCAGTGACCACGTAGTATACGAGAGATATAGAAGTTACTCTATACTCGATTCCCCAACGTCAACACTAGGGTTGCCATTTCACGAGGTTTAAAAATCCGGAGATCGTAGCACGAAGATGGCAGAAACAGGAGTAGGAGAGTCGCGTTTCCCCTGAATTTTAAAGTCAAATATAAAGAGGTTCGTTGACTTTTTTAATGAAACGGTGTATTTAAGACAGATGCATCTAAAATAAATGAATGTTTATCGTATGCTATATTTGTTTAAAATGTAGGCTTTGGCGAATGTTTTTCGTGATGTTAACACGTGATCAAAGAATGTTTTTGCACGGAAGAATTAGCTCTAAAGCCAGTTCTGAAGTTTGCGAATATTATCCATTCATCAACGTTGCATCAAACAAATATGGAATATTCCCTGGCGTTAGTTCCTACAAATATCAACACGACTCCACATATATCAACTGTAAAACATTAAATTATTCCACTTCTTTCCAAAAGTATGGTTTTTGCTATCATCAAATGGATTTTACTTCTGCAAGAATAGATTCGTTGTATTAAAAAGTAATTATCAGATTAATTAGTAAGTGTAAGAAAAAGACCAATAAGAAGGCAGTATCTCATTGACATTGAAATTAAAATCGTGCAATTAGTTCCGCGGACTTCAGAAACTCTTTTTCTGTTTTTTTAAGCATCGACGGAGGAAAGTCGGAGTTTAACGACACGGTAACGACCTACTATTTATAGCGAGGCCCCCTTTCGCGACTCGTTCTCGGACCGGCCGCGAATGCAACACTTTCCGAACCGTAGGCGGCCCGATGCGGCTCGATGACCGCGCGGGATCGATGGCCGAATAAACAGGCCGGGCGCGCGCGGCGTGGATCGATCCGTCTCATCCCCATATCGATATCGGATGCCGCGTAGCGCATTCGTTAGATTGCCCCCGGAGCTGAAAGTCCGGTCTGACGTAACGAGGCGTGCGGAGAGAACGCGCCGAGCCGAGCGGAACGGAAAGACCAGGGCGCATGTCGATGCCTCGAGCGTAGCAGCAGCCAATGGACTGGCTAAAATATTAAATGGGAGCAAAGACCCTGTTCTCGTACGCCACGTAGTCGTAGCGGTGGTTCAATTTCTGAGCCAGTCCACCCCTGGTCGGGGCCAAGGGGGCAGGAAGGGGAGCGCGCTAGTAGAAATAGTCGCAGTCAGACTCGCCGCGCCGCGACAGTCTAGCTCGGCACTACTGGCGACATCCGTAAGCGCGGCCGAGAAAAGGAGGGATGGACGATGCGTGTCATCCGTCGGCACGCAGGGTGAATTAACTTTAAGCGGACAAAGAGATTGAGTTGTATAAACGAAATATATAGATTATGCTTGCTAAATCGAGAAGATAAAAAATATTTACGATTTTTCTTCTTCTTCCTTATCCTCGATATTTTCTTTTATGCAAAATAGATATCACTTCAAAATTTTTCCAGTCTAAAATTTAGACGGGAAAAAATTGATCTAGTTAAATAATTTTCAAATGAGAAAAGGAAATACGCGGAATACTCTTATCGCCTATATCGTAAATTTCGCACTGGAAAAATCGATTCTCTTCTAGCTTTTCCACAGTGCTGATTAACTATAATTGAAGTTATTGGCAATTACGCCAGTGATGCGTACTGCATATGAATACAGCGCACGGTGTTATGTAACAAGCACATGTAGCACAAGTACACAATCGTCTTAAGATAATAGACACTAAAGTTTGGTAGATTGTAATCATGTTAAATTGTTCCTTTTTTCCGAGTTGGATAACAGCGCGGAACTTTAACGATTGTTGTCTTAAGACAATGGCTTACAATAGCTCTCATTGTTGCATAACGTATATCCTGTTGCCTATAAATCCCAGAAACTTTTCGATCTCAACGGCAATTTGGTTAATTTTATGTCAAACAAATTTGTCAATAAATAAAAAACGGCATTTCTAATTATTTACGAAAATAAAGCTCATTAATTATTATCGTATTAAGCTACACAAGTAAAAGTCGTCTAAGGAAAGCGAGCGATATTGCAAATTTAGAATTTGTGAACGGAAAATGGTTAACGTTAATCATTGACAACTATTCTGACACGCTAAAGTGATACGTATTGCGACACATCTGTCGATTCGATTTTCTCATGTCACGTGTCTTGAACAATCGAACAAATTTTATAAATAACTATATATAATATATATATGTAATGGAGCATACTAAAATAATATATCTTGAATCAAGTTTGCTTTTTTCCAGTGAATATATGCTAGAAATAACCCAGAACGGTTGAATATCGAAGCATGGAAAAGCAACGCAAGCGGCGATAGGGCATTCACTTTTTACAAAACGCACGAGTACTTGTCGTTCACGTATGGTCAACCGCAAACAGGTTGCCACAATTTTTTTTCGGCGAGTATGCACAAGAGTATTGGCATCCCGCGCCGCTGCCTATTTTAACGCAGAAGTTTTGTCATAAAAACTGCGCGCATATATATTGTGCACGGTTCGTTTAATAGGTCACGATTTATACTGTTTTACATGTGATCATACGAGAATTACATGCGTTTGAACAAGAATACAAAATAACTCTACTTTGATAATACTGTTTTTCTCGCTAGCCTGGCGTTAAAATATTTTCAACATTTTATCGAACAGTTATAATTCATCGAACTTTGTATTAATTTATATCCAGAACGGCGTACTACGCCATTATATATAACTTGTATTCCGTATCCGCAGCGAAACACGGCGAATGGACTTAATAGATTTAATTTAATTTCGAGGCGTTTATCAAATTACGATCATTATTAAATACTTATGATTAATGGAGATATATGAAAATGCATTAATTTATTTTACGTCGTAAAATTTATACTGCTTGTTTAAAACGTGACGTCACCGATTATTATATTTATACCAATTAACGTCGTTAATCCCAACACCACCAATTATAAAAGCGAGAATGGAACTTTACCTAGTTATTCGTTCTATTTTCCTCTACACGGGTTCTAGTTATTTTGACATTTCCGCGATGATGGGGCGATGGTATACCTTCGGTGATCTGCTACGACGCCATTCGGATTGTTCCTAAAAACAGAACAATTAATTATCATCATAGCATTGTATATAATATTACCATAATAGATATTATTAGTGCTGTAATCGGACGTGGATTATTATTAACAAATTTTCATGCCATTATAATATCCAATTAACGCAAGATGCGCATTTATTATATATTACAAGCTACAATGATTACCAAATGAGCTGATTCATAAAGTATGATAAATGCACACACCGCGGGTGAGATCGCGTCATATATCAATTGAAAGAAATCGAGGGCGAAGCAAAAAGTTCCTAAATTATCACAATTTAAAAAGTTCCGATGATCATTGCCAACGAGTGGAATTCCTTTTAAAATGGCCTAATTCTTTACGCCTAGTAGAACTTCGAACGCTTATAATACCTTTCTTTCGTTAAGCTAGTTTCTTTAATGATTCACTTTATAAAGGGTCGCGCCCAGCGTCGAATATTGACCCTACGGTCGGCAAGAAATAGAAATCAGACGGTGCTTAAAGGGGCGAAACACGTGCGCGTCCAGGAAGGGTTAGTAAAATAAATAAAAATATCCCGCTGAGCAACGTAAACTCGGATAGTTGCGTAAAGGTCTGAGATAGGGTCAAGCATGAATCTAATTTTATGTTTGCCAATCGAGCGGCTGCGTGCCGGGTATACCGAGCCTGATCTAATGTCCGACGCAACGACCGAAAGTCAAGTGGAGGCATGATACATCTATATGACCTTTGGTAATTCAGAGTTTATAGGTCGTCTCGTGTGTCGCATAAAAAAGAGAGTAAGGGAGAGAGAACGAGAGAGACTCCTTTTTGTCGTAACAATATCTAGCGCGTATACACGGAAAATCGTATAAATGTATATAAACGGGTTTTATTAAATCTCTCATTCTTCGACGGCGATAAAATTTTAATTAAAAGCGAATTCGCGATCGGCACGGTTTACCCGTAAACCCTTTGTACGAGTGTCCGAGAGTTTCACAGTTATTCACCTCCAGCCTGCGGACTATTAAATTATTTAAGGTCGATGATCGCGCGTAAATTCTGAATAGAGACGCGAGTGGGTCACGGCCTGATGATTTTTATCCGTAGTTGTTGAATTAAAACACGACAAAGGATACTCGCGCGCATACTGTGCCGTTCAAGTTGCGAAACGGATTTTTCATTTACACGCGACGATGCGACCGCGCAACGAGGTCCATTTATCGCAGCAAATAATTTACCTCCGGCTTCAATAGCTTCTCGATGCACGACATTTTGCTGTTCATTATTTCCAGCTCTAATTCCTCCTTGCATAACTGTCGCAGTGAAAATCGGTAAAACGTTTTTAATCGGTGAGTGGCGATCGATTAAAGAAGTTATATCAATTCTTACCATTTTTTTTGTCTTCTCCTGAAACACGCTCATACGCTGCAACTGAAGATCGAAATTATAGATAGAACGCGATGTAAGATCATCAATCATATGTTTTTAAGTTTTGAATATTTTACGATAAACTTACATGCTTGTGAATACATTTGTACGGAGGTATAATGCTAACGACGCTTTCTATCCGCGGTAACTTCTGTAAATTATTGATAATCAGCGTTAGTGCTTTGAAAGCGTTCAATATCGCTCTAGCCTTCGCACTTCAATCTAGCTGTGATTGCCGAGACTGCCGACTTACCTTTTCCGCTTTCTCGAGCAATTCACGAAAAAGAGTGTCGTTCGACGTCATCGTATTCAAACTCTAAGCCAGAAGAGGGATATAATTACTTAGAATAATGATTTATTAACGTTAAATTACATCTGTATCATATTAAATTAACTTTTTATTCTTATTATAAAAATAGCAAAAATCCGCGATGTAATTTTTATCGCGCGCTTATCAATTTGTTTGATTAAAAAAATATATTTTGCAGTTAAAAAAATAAAAACAGTAAATTTAAATCAATAAAAATATATTTTGTTTAAAAATTACTTTTTTAAATACATATTAAAGCAAGTGATTCATCTGTATTGCGGAGAAAATAGTTAAAATTTCTTTCCTCAAAAACGAAGGAGCAGTTCTTCGCGTTTATAAGAATTATATTTGTTACAACAGCACGTGCGCGAAGACATTGGTATTCAAGCGATTGCCTCGCAAAGTTGTTTACATTTTCTTTAAGTCGGCACGAGAGTTCGGGACTGGCAAGGTTTTCGGATGATACGTGACTCGTTTTCTTCCGTACAGTAACGTGAGCATTATCTATTTAAAGACTACGACGCGATGAGGAATCGGAATATCGGTAATTTTGCGACTTCGGCCGTTTATTGTCCCTTCATTAATTACACGCCGAAATAATATTATTACGTTGGATTTAAAGCAAACAATTAATTATAGAACCATGTACTCATATTGTCAATTATTGTATTGAGTCGTACGGTATCATATGCAAATTAATTGCCAGAATAACAAGCTCACTTGAATTTTCTCTGACAAACAAATGATTGTGCCTAGAGGCTTTCATGGTTACTGTTGCAAATAAAATTAATTAACATATAAATTTTTTATTTGACACTTTGTGCTATCCTAATTATATCTGAATAGTGAAAGAATAAAAAAATTGAATTGTTTAGAAAGGAAAAATTTTTGTTCGCGTTATTTCAAAATTAAAATTGCGTTATCAAATCATGCTGAACTCACTGCTATCGAACAGATAACCATAATCACTGCGAAGATGAACGTAATGAAAGTCACCGCTCCGCAATAGGCATTTAAATTGAAGAAATGCCTGAGATTGTGATCGGCGATGAGGAATCGGTATATCTGAAACGGGACAACGATTCGTGAAAAATCGAAGGCCTCCGAGGCCGAGATAACCCTAATCGATTTGCATTTCTGACCAGCGAGTTCAAACCGTATCCGGACGCTCGATAGTACTTGTGCAGCCTAGTGTCCATGATGGGGAGGGCGATAACTACCGGATAATTTGTCGAGATCGTAAGGAGATACCACGTCGATGGTCGTGGGTAATCAGGAGGCGAACGGCGAATCTATCATTCAAACGAATATTTGACAGGAGACGGCGGTCTTTCATTGGCACGCAGCGCGATCGATCGAACAAATGATGGTAAAATAAGCAAATTGCTTTGACGTTAGTTAAACAACCGGACAGTCACCCATTCTTCCATTGAGCTCTATAACATACAGGAGTGAGCCTTTAAGAACTAATGTGTAATTTGCGGCTCAAAGATAGCAATAGTAGACACGTCTGTCCTTCAATTTACTATCGTGTATAATAGCAATATTAAAAACGAAAACAGACGTGAGACAGATGTCTCTGTACAATACAGCTCTCTCTCTCTCTCTCTCTCTCTCTCTCTCTCTCTCTCTTTTGTGAGGCTATTCGCACCTTTCAAGACTCCAGTATATATTATAGAGCATTCTTTCAAGTTTGGTAATGACATTATCATTGCCAATAATCATGATTTCTATCCAAGTGTCATTATCGACGATGGCATGAAATCTTGAAAAGTCTAAAGTTAATTCTTGAAAAAGCTCAAGCAACACGCTCTTCTTTGTGGAAGGTTGTACTTTTAAATTTTATATTTAATAGATGGCTGCGCGAACAAACAACTTTCTTTTCTGAAAGCAGATTAACTGATAGTCTTTCATGAAAGAAAAATGTGTAACCAAAAGATTTGCAGACCTTTATTTATTATGGGCCATCATTTGCGGCACCCATTGAGCATCAGTTAGGAGCTTGACACACTTCAGTATAATTAATTTTCGTACTCACTCACCGCTGAGTAATATCGCTCCATTTTCTTGCATTTCGCCCTTCTTTCTTCGGTATTTACACGAGAGCCACCCCTCGCGTTTTGAAGTTCGAGCATGCTTCGTGTCAGCCGCGTTCGTTACGTGTCATTAGGATCCTCGTGAAAGGTTTGTTTAGTTTTGCGTGCGCCGCCAATATTCTTCCCGCGCCGAAGTTTCCTGGCGTAATTTATAACCCGCGGCTTTCGACCGTGTATACGTAACACGGAATGTGGTTATTGAGTTATAAAAGCACAACGTTTGATGGAAGTATTATCCATAATTGAGCTTTCTTTTGCTTTGATTATGTCAAGGTTAGATTTACTTAAAGATTTATATTTCAAGAGCCCGTAAAATATACATTTATACTTCAATATAGACATATATTTCAAAGGCTCATAAAATATAAATAATACAAAATGCACATAATAATTATATTTTAAGATATTAATATTAATTTCAAATATTTAATAGCATGTGTAATTTCATCAAACTTACTCATGTAATTAATTATTATGTTAATATATCAAATAATTCTTATGCCAATTATATAGTTATAATTAATTTGAGATTAATGTGAAAGAGCTAAGCTAGTTGAACTGTTGCGATAATGCTATTTATTTTTGTGATTAAAAGGTTAAACGAATCAAATGAAAATTATCGTATCTTTTTAATCTCTCGATTATTATATATAGAATAGATATGTCTGCTATAAGCAGATGGAAAAATATATTAGAAACGTTTCTGGATACGACCTGGAATATGGCATACGGGTAATAGAATTATCTATTGGGAACTTAATATCGAGTGCAGTTCGTAAAATATTGTGTTATTTTAGATCGTTTTTCCATATTACACTTTTTATTGTCTGTACTAAAAATATTTATTATCATTATTATCAATAGTATTACAACAAGAAACAAGTTGCAGCTTTTTTTAAATATTATTTCTATAAAAAAATATATTAAGTATATTTATCGAAAATATGTGAATTGCAAAAACATGAGTTTATTTTATTTTGCGCCACACATAAATTGTTTTCTGTCTTGTTCAAAATAATGGAAGGACTTTCATATTAGCATAAAGCGTCGTTATTTTCGATCCAGATAGTCGTACTGAAAGATCGTCGGGTCAGGTCAAAATTTCGCATATTTTCACAATCTCGTCCTGTAGAGTTTTCGTGACTGCCGCGACTGTCAAGGAGGAAAGGGAGAGAGAGAGAAAAAGAGAGAGAGAAG